AATTTATCTGAAACACATCAAATTCTTTCAATATAATTTTGATTCTTCGATATAAAAGAAAATCATAGAATCGTGTCACTTTCGCCAATGAATGGCTTACAATTGGCAGTAGATGCGACGTGAAAATATGTAAAGCTTATAATTGAAACGAAGAAACGGAAAGAAACCGAACAGAATTACTGTATACGTAAACTACGATCTCATCACAATTTCTAATTATGTTACAACGGAATCAAGAGCCTCGACTACGATGCAAACGAAACATCGACTTCGTTAAGCCTCGCAATCTCGAGTGATATTATTACAAACCGTTTGTTACAAAATAACACCACGGTTGCAGGAAACTGCGCGGCTGCCGTTTCCATTCGAAATGGCCGGCTTTAACGTCGAGAGCTTGCTAATATCGAGCAAAACATCACAGATGGGTCAACGAGAAATTACATCGCACCCCTGTGAACACAGGAGCCGCGATATTCGGTCGGCACACGATTCTCGAGGAAACGAAATCTGCCATCGTCGACAAGGTCTCTCGCCATGAAAACGTCCCGGGTAAATAATGATACTGACACTCTTCTCACTTTTCAAGGGTGCCAGGACTTTATCGCGACCTCTCCAGTGGCTTTTGTGTTTTCGCGATAGTCGCTACACGATTCCGTAACCGTGAGACGGTTTTTCCGGACGAGAATAAAGCGTTTGAAAGCGAAGTTTCTTCGAAAAAGAGCCTCGCGGTATCCGAGATTTCTCTTCTTATTTTATATTATTTTCTATGTTTTCTGCTCTGCATTTTTTCTGTTTCACATTTTTCCAACATATTTTCAAACTTTTTCAGCGATGAGTTGGTCATTGGATTTCGTTTTACTCATTGGGACAACGAATAGGAGGGCGTGTGATACCTTGATCGGAAGCTCGTCTCTAAAAAGTTACAACTATGGTGGTCCGAAACTCACAGTTCACGAGATTGTATCGAGAAAAATATATTAGTATTACTAATACATTGCATCTTGCCTAGATATACATACGTGACTGCATGCGCAACACGGTCGAGGCGATAGTCGCTTCGCTCGTAACAGGCCACCTAAACGACACGGTTGGAAAGTAAAGGATAACCCAAACCTATATAATCCTATACCTACGTGCAAACTATAAATTATAAATAGTTCGTCGACCGGCGAGCGAAGCGACTATCGCGTCGGCTGCATCTCGTAATGTACATAGTACTAATAGAATTTTGTTAATATCTCGAAAACTACGAGTATGCTGCATTTCGAACCACCATATACAACAAAATCTGCATCTTAAGACATAAGCTTCCATTGAAGGCATCACGTGTCCTTTTACTCGTTTTGACCCAATAACCAAAGCCGTGTTCGGTCATTGCAACAATTGATAGCAGAATATATTTTGCAGCGTGTTTTCCTTCGAAGAATAGTCTTACGGTGTTCGAGATTTCTTTCTGCAGCGATTTTTTATATTCCATATCTTTTCACGTTACTATCATATTTAGCAATTTTGTAAGCTATTTTGCGATTTTCTTGAAAAATAAGTTGGTCATTGTAACAATTGATAACAGAATATCTTTATTTTAATCACGTTTTCCTTCGAAGAGCAATCTCGGCGTCTGAGATTTCCTTTCGCATTTCTAATTTTCCATACTTTTTGCACAGTTTTTTAATATGTTTTACTTCTAACAACAGGGTGAGCGTCGAGGTATTGGAGATTTGCTTCGATAGCCATGTTTTGTTTATTTTTCTTTAATTGTTTAAAATATAGAAAAGATTTTTCAGCGAGAGAGGCAAACTTTTATGACGAAAGTTTCTAATCAGCCTGGGAATAACTTGCATCTTCGTTTCGTTCCCGCGAAATCAGATTGCCGATACATTGTGTATGTTTCACGTATTGACAAACATCGAGTTTACTGAAAAGATCGGCTGAACAAACGATTGAAAAGCCTTTGGATGGTGATGAACAACATAATTATCGATTCGACGATGAAAACTGGTTGATTGAGCCGAACGATTGAAAATGTGATTCGACGTTGTACGGTATAATAGGAATTAATATGAATCGATATTAGTATTAACAATTTTATAATTAATACTAATAATGATGTAATATTATGATAATTCTTAAAGTACTTAATTTATTTCCCACATATGATTTTTTAATTGAATATTATCGATATCCAATTAAATTTCTAATTAAATATTATCGATATCTGATTGAATTTTTAATTGAATATCTTTATTTTTTTTTTTTTTTTTTTTTGAGTATAACTTTAGTAATTTTCCGTAGAAATTATGATCAGTGGTATGTTTGAATTTCAATTTAATAAACTAAAATTTTAAAGTACGCAATATTTCCTTTTCTTATTATCGTATATCGATGCAATATTTTTAATTTTATTCGAGTAAACATTCTTCGAGAAATATAATTTCTAAGAATTCGTGATCTTATTTTAGTAATTTTTTCTTGCAAGAAAGTTTTTTTAAGAAATTTCTCCAAGGAAAGATTTCACGAGTGATGTTTTTATACGGCAAATGCATCGCAATATATTGTATTCGGTTGATCTTTTCATCTATTTCATTCAAATAAGAAGATAATTTCTTTCAAAATTTGTTTTTTAAATCATCTTTAAACTATCCCAAGTAATTTAAAGCATTTTCTTTATTAATAAAGGTAACCATCCATGTATGGCAGAAATGTATAAAATCTTCCTTCGTGCAAATTAAATTGCTAAATATATACGGCACTGAATTACGAAAAATGTAATAAAATATAGTTATAAGCGCGAATAGTATGTTAATTTAGTTTTTCGACATAAAAAGATAGATTGTTTCTCCTAAAAAGAAGCACGTTAACTTCTTCTAATTTCGCTGCGAAAGCTACAAATTTCGCATATAAAAACGACTGCTATAAATGTTCATTAAAGCAATTATCACGTTATTTCGCTTCGCGAGAATCATATACCAACTCTCTCATTCATCTAGCAAAGATCATCTCTATTAAGTCTCATTTAGATATCGTTCTACCTACAAGCTTCTTTTCACCGTAACGAAACTGCTTACCTCCTCGTACTTCTTGTCACATTTTCTCTTCAAGCGTTACCGGAGCGCGTGTACATAATAAAAGTACGATTCGTTGAATAACTAACGTTCCATAGCATGTGAAACCAATTTACGAACATCAAGTGTAAGTTTATACGATGTCGTACGAAAAGATCTTTAAACGAATTTCTTGGAAAAAGGTCCATCCCAAGAAATAATTTCTCCTCTGACGTAATATCTTTCCCATCTTTTATTAAACTCGAATGTGAAAAGTTAAGGAACGTATTTCTTCAAAAAATGAATTATAGATTTGTATTTTCCAGATATCACACGTATTTATTGCGTTATATTTACTATTATTTAAAATGAATTATAACGTTACTAAGATCACGTATCAAGCATTGGTTTTATAAAGTTTACATTAACGTGAAATTTTCTATTTATTTTTACGAATATCATATGCTTGTACGTCTAGTCAGCTCTTCGTTTGTGTCTCTAATTTATCTTTCGATTGGAATTCAATGAAAAAACCAATGAATGAGTACATCTTTCTCAGCGAGTTTTATTGTTGCAATATCATTTTGATAACATCCAATTATTTTATTTCACATCAGCAAATAATTAGCAATATTACATATTTTTTCTAATCCAACTTGAGCAAGGTTGGCAAACCAGTAACTTTGTCGAACGTGTTGACCATAACGATGAAGTAGAAGTATAGCTTATCTCAACTTTCGAAATGTTCCTAAGCTTAGCGAATTACGCTTCAAACTTTTTGCACTTGCTGTTATGAAAATACACTTTTCGACCTTTTAAAGTATTCTTAATGAAAGTGGCGAACAACTTTGCCGAAGAAGAGGATAAAGCATAATCTTTGCTACCGCGGATAAAGATGCCTAATTTTTAGATAAACTGACGATTTTTAAGAACTTTTTACTACACTTTCGTGACTTTATTCTTAAGAAAGTGAGGTTTTTTATCGTAATTTTTAGACTTGAATTCCTAAATTCTTAAAGTGACAAAAATAATTTGCCATTGCGTCTTCTGCAATTCAAGAATGATGTTAAACAATTATTCTGACGTATCAAAAATTAGCATAATACTAAAATAAATATTTGTTCTATACTTATTTTTATCTGTACATATTCGTGCAAAAAGATGCACTTCGAATTTCAATTTATACGCCGTCCATATTAATATTTATAATCATTATTAATATTTCACCTTTAGTTTATAAAATTATATTTCAAAACAAATAACTGCCTAACTTACTTTCAATGAAAACAAGCTTATTTTTATTTCTTATCATTTAAATTCTTAATAAAGCACAATGTAACATTTACTTTTATCATCCAATTATTTTATCTCGCGTCAGTAAATAATTATCATTATTACACGTCTTAGTTTCATTTGTCTCCGACTTGCACCCTCATCATTTTTCTCGGAAAAGAATCGCAGATATTAAACACACGAAGAAAGAACAAATCCATTGCAAGAGAGAAAAAAACAAAAATTAATTTTTAAACTAAATTTCAATAGAAACTAATGTTACGTTGCGTACAAAAAATTACACCCAAGGTACAAGGTACGAAGGTGTTAAAAATTCTCACCGAAGGTCAAACGATTCTAATTGCACGTCGTTCGATTTGTAAAATTTGTTGTCAAAATAAAGTAAGAAACGAATCGTCAAGATACAAAAATAACTACGATAAAAAATTCAAAATACACAAGCAGCAACGAATATCACAAAAAAATTAAGTAAGACTTTCGATTATTAAAAACCTCATTTCTCTTCCCTTTTTTTAAAAAAAAATTGCTGATTCTTTTCAACTGAAATTTAATATATAAACGTCGATCTTGACTTTGGTTCGTGTCACTGGTTTCTTTGAAACGAAACTGAAGCTAAGTTTGTTAGTAAACTGCATATTAAAAGAACGATATTTTTCGCAAACTCACCTATTATTACGCTCGATGAAAAAACGCTGGAATCTCCATAATGAACTCGTATCGAAGATAAGCGTCTCGTTCGTCACATGGTCGTCGAAACAGTATGTACGACCGATGGTCACGAACGGATCCAGATGTCCCAAATTGATCGCATCGCGGAGAATCCGTGGTTCGATTTGATCGGCGAGTCAACACAACAAGATCACGGTCAAATATGAAAACATCGTCGACGATGGTGAACACGAACTTTGCAAAGAGACGAGAAGCACGTGGCGAAGCCACGACGCGTACTGGCTGCCTCGTACAGGACAGCTGACGAAGGGTGGCAACTCGGCGTTTGCCACCCTGCGCTTTCCCTCTTACTCTGTCGCTGATGCTCCGCATCGCTATGTATGTGTAGCTCTCGTTGCCCGATCCCCCACCAGTTTCCCAAAATTGATCAGATCGATGATCTATCGATGGTCTCTGTTTTTCTCTCCTTTCTCTTCTTTCGAGATTTTCCATCTTGATAAAGTGCGAGACCTGAAATTTTTTAAATGGAAGCGTTATCATTAGCAGATGTAGGACGTAACAGAGTTCCGTTTTCAATACGTTGTTTTCAATGTTGTTTTCTGTACGTGATCGAACTAAATACTGAAAGGTAATTTGACGTTAGACGATAGATCAAAAAGGGAAAAATACGTGTTCGTGCATTTATGTTCGTTTAAGATTTCTCCTTTAAAAACGATTGTTTAGACGATACATAATTTATTTGGTCAGACATGTTATTTCGAACGAACGAAAATGCGAAAAATTTTATGCGACCTGTTTCGCGGTTATATTACAATTTTCGATACACCTCGTGCATATGCGATATACTTAGATACTACCATTCTAAAGGAATCTCCTCGTCTCGCTCATCGAAGAAATACTTTTCAAAGTTTAAAAGTTGAATATCGAGCGAAATTTGAGGAATGGCACGCACGTGCTAAGTTTGAAGCTAGCGTGCAGATATCATTCCTTGCATTTTCTCCTATATTCGATTGTTTGAAATCATATTGGAGAAAAAGAAGTTTTCTAGTATAATTCACGTTCATCGCATATTTTAATCGATCGATAATACGAACAGAAAATATCCGTAAAATAAATTCTGCGTTCTTAACAGGATAGAATTACATTATCCAATACAACGTATACGTATAATATATATTTTATCCAAAGAAAAGAAATAAAAAAGAAATATAGTGTTGATTAATAAAATATAGTAGAACCTCGTTTATCCGAACAATTCTGGATACAAGGCAGTTCGGATGACCTAATAGTTCGGATAATAGGGGCTCCCTTAAGAGTTTGTATTTCCGAGGTTGAGTCTGAATTTGTTTGTACACACGAGGTGCGGATAAAGCGAGGTTCCACTGTAATACAATAATATAGTACAATAGAAATATAGGTTAAAAATTATAATAATTAATTTCGGTTTGTCCAGGCATCGTGGCATTTGCACGTGAAGTAGTTGAAGTCAACAGAGCTCGAATTCATTGCAACAGAGAAGGAGAGAGAGAGGCAGATTTCCTGGTGAGAGATCCATTGTTGACAGTGCATTAGCAGTCTCCTGCGGTTCTACGGTACTCCATTCAGCAGTGGAGTTTTCTCGATATTCACTCGACAATGGGATTATCGATACCAAACCCGTGAACGGAAGTTATTAAAATCCGACAAACCTCGCCGGAAGGAAGATCGCAGCACGAAATATAAAAAAACATTTCCAAGATTGAGTGCTACCGCTATGCGCATTAAGCAAAATTTCCAATCGATTCTTCGATAATGTCTCAAGTGGACGACGTTTTTCGAGAATGAGGCACGTTTCGCTATTGATTGAAACGCGTCGTTACCATGTATAGCGTATTACGAAAACTTTATAGATCTCACTTTTAATTTATAATTTTGCATATTTTGGTAGTAGTATTTAGCAAAGGGCTAGAACTTGAAAAGAAAGAGATAAAGCTTTCTTAAATCGGATCGAATCATTTTATTATCAAATAAGACGGAAAAGACAAAATTTCGATCGTTTCTCGTCGTAATGGTTATAATATTTTTTCGGTTTGAAAATATCAAACATGACTAAATATTGTGACGATAATAATACTGATTTATTTGTGCTTTAAGCCCATAGCCTATTACAAGGAAGGTGTTGCGTTCTTGTTCCTAGTTTCTTACGCTGTATTATATTTTTACATTGAATTCTTAATTCCTGTATTATATCCTGATTTTATTTATTGTTATATTAACTTGATCCTTTCTTAATAATTACAACTAAGAATAAAATTCTGCAAAAATGTCAGCCAGGAAATCAATTAATTCACTTTACTGTAAATTACTAAGTATCTCTTAGGATTTAGTATATGCTTCGTAAGTATCCTACAAAAATACATACCACGCGATAATTTTATAATTATCGTTCATACAAAAGATCTAGATACGATTACGACAAAATAATTTTTATAAGCATATCATGGCTTCGCCGATGATATTATTTCCACTAGTAACACAACGAAGTATAAAGGAACGCGGACACTCGCATCGATTTAAAGCCTCGTTATCGTCTTATTAATGGAGGAGCTAGGGAACCATATTTCTCGAATCGAGGTTGCTAGTGATTACTACTATTTACGTAGCCTTTTTCTCCATCGAAGTACCAGTGAGATCTCAAGGAATTGGTAATTTAATCCGGAAATCGATCTCGCGTCTTTCCTCCACCCTGCCTGATTACAGCCGCGATCGTTTCTGAAGAAATACAGGCAACGATCTCAATTTTTTTCCTCGGTATTTTCATCGTTACGACGGCAACTTAATGGCAGATTTCACCACAAAATCGCGAGGCGTAATTTCCAGACTTTGCCGAGTTTTCAGACGTTTCTCCGAAAGAATCACTTCCAGTGTTACGATTTTACTTTCCCGACGAAATATTTTTCCGTTCGTCATATCGGTAGCGTTTAATAACTTTTTATTTATTCATTTACGATAGTTGTTATCTTATCCTTTATTTTATTTAATTTTATATTCGCAGTCCGAAAATAGACTTTTACAATATTTTCCGAAACTCACGCATACTTATACGTTTCTTACATTTGGCTTCAGCTCATTTGGCATTCAAAATTCATGAAACTAATCCTACTCTTCTATGTATGTATATGTATATTATAACTTAAACTCTCTTAACATATATATCTCTGTAGAAATTATAATTAATATGATAATATATATTAATAACAAATATATAATAATTATTATAATATGATTATATATATGATATAATACAAACACGGTTGCATTTGATTTATATAGATAGTTAGTTTCTATAACATAGAAAGAGAAATGAACATTATACGTGTCTTCTCTTGTGTACAAATTATTGGAAATTAAATTTATGGCTGTTTTCGATTTTTGTGATAATATCGACATTTGGTTTACAGGAACAAATGTTTGATATTGTATAATTTTCTAATGAAAACACGTTCTGCTCTTTAAACACGATCGTTTTCAATAGACAGCACTTGACTGTGTTGAAAAATTTGTACAAATGTTTTATTCATATGTTTACATGCCTATATATATATAAATATATTTATTTATTTATTTATTTATTTATTTATTTATTTATTTATTTATTATATATAAAGAATTGATGACAGATGTTCCAGAAAAGATATCTTCTTTGAATCTTCTTGCAATCCTTATTTGGGTATTTTGATATAAATAGTATTTTTTTACTATATCAAAGAGCATACGATGGAATTTAAATTTAAAATTTTATAATGTAAAAACTACATGTATAGAAAAAAGTAGATTGTATGTCATATCTATCCGTGTCGTTTAGGATTCAGATTGATCTTGACTGGGTACTAAATGGCAGAACTATCTTCCCCTTATCTGCCAGAGGAATGCCTGTAGGATTCATTTACGATTTCGAAGGGATCGCTGAGGAACATCTGCGGGTTCTGGCGAAAAACCATTTCCTTGATAACACGTTTTATACATTTTTTTACTGTTCTTGTTGGTGCTGCTTGATGGATTATAGAGCCCCCCCCCCCCCCCCCTTGTATCATCAGCGATATATTGACGATATAGAACCACATAAGTACACATGTGAATATATAAGTATGTACAGTGCTCTAAGAACGTTCCATTCCTTCACAGCAAACGCGAGAAAACGTTCATACAGATTATAATATCTAAAAGAATCGAACAAACGTCCTTGGAGCATCCTTACAGCATTCGAGTGTTCGATTTCCGATTCGGCAAGCAATCGTCAAACTTCGAACGAATGCTGGTTTACACTTTCGTTAGCTTTTATCAAATGCTGGTAAAGGGAAAGAAAAGCGAGCAACGTTCGCATATTGTTAGTATAATAATAGCGCATCGTATTAGTATAAAATTTAAAGAGACTAAAGCAAATCTTTCTAACAGATATACATTAACGTGTCACGCATAATTATATTACTTCAAGAATAATGTCGAGATTATCGATTTAAATACCTTTTCTCAATTCCTATAGGCGGAATATTTTTATTTACGTATTCTATTACGTATACTTTATATGTATGCACACTACGTATGCGTATTACGTATGCACGAATTTGGAAAAAAATTTGTAATTATGAAGAAACTTCATGAAATATCTATTTTCAAAAATGTATGAACTCTTTGAGTGTCCGATAGCGTTAGGCCTCTTTCACACACCGATACATATATCGCGATGTATGATATTATGAAAGCTATTATGAAGGCAATGTATAATCGGTATCCATCATACACGTGTCGCACATGTGTATCGTTGTGTAAAAGAAGGCTTATTGTATACCTGCTACTTCTTCGCGTAATATAAAAATAAAAATTCTTACATAGAATCTATAAGATTGAGGTCAAGCAAAAGTTACGACAAATGATACACAGAAAGGATATCGCGAAGGACAATTCAACGAAAAGAGACTAAGATAAACGATACACCGCAAAGAACAATCAAACATTAAGGACGATTAAACAGAAAAAGATTACGATAAATGATACACGCAAAAGATATCGTGAAGGATAATTGAATGAAAATTGAACGACATACCACAAGGAACAATCAAACGTTAAGAACGATTAAACAAAAAAAAAAAAGAAAAAGAAGATCACCATAAATGATACACAGCGGAGAACAATTAAAACACATTAGGAATTGATACAGGTTTCACCTGCACCACCTTCGCTATTAAGAGAAAGGTTAGAAGGGAAGAAGAAATAACCGAAAGAACTTCCAACTTCAATGAATCCTTTGAGCTGGATGCTCGTCGGGCGTGTATTAAATCGGATAAAATCGCGAGATGCGATCATAAAGGTAAAAGGTATTTCGTAGGCAGCGCCCCTACGTATGGGACCTGTACAGATTTTCGTTTTAACCACGTCACCACGTCAACCGCGTGTTCTTCCCAGGTATCGGAAGATCGAGCCGGCCCGTGAAAGCACGATAAAAGATGGATGATGGGAAAGAAGGATGCCAG